GGTGGCTTGCTTTCTTACTTTCTCTCTCTCTTGCTTGCTTGCTCTGTCCCTCTCTGGTCAAATTAAAAAAAAAAGTTAAATAAAATAATTATTTTAAAAAGAATTTAATTATAGAATATCTGCCTTTGTTGGGGCTCATTCTCTGTGACTTTAGTTCTGCCATACAATATCAGAGGAACATTGAGTTAAAATATTCTGCCAGTGCCTCTGTATAGCAAACAGTGCCTTAAAATACATAATAGACTAATTTCAATTTCAGTTCTTCTTGGCTGGGATTTGGATTGTTAACCTTGGTAAAATATTTTATTAGGTGTTTATAAGAAGTTATTTTATAGGAAGAAAACAAAAATATGGATTCTTTCTCTTTCTTTCTTTCTTTCTTTCTTTCTTTCTTTCTTTCTTTCTTTCTTTCTTTCTTTCTTTCTTCTTCCTTCTTCCCTTCCATTCACTCCTCTCCTTTCCTTCCTTCCTTCCTGGCTGTGAAATGATTGCCAGTACTGACTCATAGTTTCTCATATTCCTCAGTTGGTGACAATATATTACTATTCTTATTTCAGTGTTCAAATAGCGTTCTCTCAGTTTTACACACTCCAGTGTCATGTGTGCCTTTAAAGCCACATGTTCATGTTTCATGCTACTTTCTTATGTCTTCTCTTTTTTAAAAATTTGATTTCTTATTATATTTATATGAGTTTTGGCTTTGCTAGACTTCTTATATATTTTTTTTAAACTGCTCTATTCTTATCCATGAACCTAGAAGATTATTCAGCTTTTCCTGTCATTGAAGCAAAGGTTGAAAGTCTTGAACTGAAGACTGTGGTGCTTATTCATGAAATCGAGCACCTTTGCAACTTCCATTCATTTAGATCTTTTCTTTTTTCTGAATTCATAGCAATCAGCTGTCTTAGGAGTATATTTTGGTTATTTCAATATGATACTTTTCTTTTTTATTGCCAGAGAGTGTGTACATTTGCCAGAGAGAGAGAAAGGGAGGAAAGGAGGGAGAGAGGGAGGGAATAAGGTAGAGAGAAGAAAAGAGAGAAAGAGAAAAAGAGTGAAAGAGAGAGAACCCTCCAATGGGGTGTGGTCATGCTGCAATCCTTTCTGCTCCATTTCTCCAGCCTGTTAGGATTTGGGGCATGCACACACGTACACACAGTGTGTTTTTCACTGGGACTGGGATTCAAACTGCAGTTGACCGAATGGGATCTGACTGTCTTAACTGCTGTCCTACCTGTCTGGCCCTATAATGCTTCTCTTTCTAAGGTTATTTTTTATACTTATGCTGAAAAATGCTTATTCAAAAGATAGTTATTTTCAGATTTTAGGTTTAGTAAAATACTTTCCATTTAATAAGCATGCACTTTGGGGCCTGGAGAAAAAAAATTAATGTTTTATATTATTGCTGCTCTAAAAACATTAATGGTGATATCTCAATCAATGAGTCCATGTAACATTTCAGAAATGTTTTCTCTGGAACAGTTTGAAAACAGCTATAACAGTGCCGTGAATGGTTTGTATTACTACATGAAGAATATGTATTTTTATTTCACTTTTTAACCAGGAGTGAGTGAAAACTCTACTTTGGTTTACAGGTGATGACATGTGAATACCAATGTCTAGTAAAAAAAAAGCAATCTTGGTTCTAGAGAATGTTTTTTAAAAGATGTTTACCGAAGTGATGAACTCTATTACATTCCTAAAAATGGTGAGAGAATTTGTGGTTGAAGAACTTGAAACCTGCATAAAGATAGGGAGGTTAGGTGACACGATCTGAAGTAAACTAATGAGTGCCCTTGATTTTACTTCACTTAAATGAAACTGCAGACAACCCACTGGGAGGAGAAATGATGAATTCATTTTAGAAGAATCTAAGATTATTAATGATTCGTTCTGTACGATTCATTTTCTCTTATCATCTGTGATAATAAGGAATGCACATTTGGTCTTTGTCTCCCAGTTCTGACAGAGAGCTTTTTAAAACACTTGGAATTTCCAGATTTGGTTGATAGGAGCATCTTTTGTTATTCATAATGAGCCCCTGTCAACCATAATGACTTTGTGCTAATAAAAAAACTTTTGGTGGAATTTAGGTGGCTTCAGGATGGGATTGAGTGCTAGGAACTAATCATACTATTAGAGGATTGGAACTGCCAGTCCTGACTTCCAGGGAAGGGAGAGGGTATGGAGATTGAATTGAATCACCAATGGACAACGGTTTAAACCTCCTTAAATTAGAGAGTTCAGAGAGTGTCCGGTGGGTGATCATATGAGGGTGCTGGGAAGTTGTTTGTAGAAGCTCTGTTAATTCCTCCCCCTGAAACCTTGCCCCTTGCATCTCTTCTATTCTGTTGTTCCTGAATTGTCTCCTTTATTGTTAAATTAAATAATATGTTTCTCTGAGTTTTGTGGGCTGTCTAGCAAATTACTGAAACTGAGGAGGGGATTGGTCAGTAGGGGTAGTTGCAACACGGTCAGTACAGGTGCCGGCAACCTGCACCTGGTGTCTGCAGTGAGGGCAGTCCTTTCAGACTGGGATGAGACACTGACTCTCGCAGTTGGATTATACGACACCCAGATGATGTCTGGGGACTTGGACAGCTAGCTGTTAATTCTGACCCATTTGGTTTCAGAAGTGTTGGGAATAGAAACATTATCAGGCTATCACTAGTAATTTTCCAGAATCTGTTTCTTGAGAACTTAAGAGGTGGCTATGAATGTTTTTGTTGTTGTAGATACTGTGCATACTAAGGGACAGTTTTTTTCTCCTATGTCTACTTATTCATTTTGATTTTATAATTTTCAGCATTGTTGAAACTTTCTGGGACTCTCACTTTCTCAAAGAACATTATGAATTATATTCCTGAAACGGAACACCTTTCCTATCACTTAATTTAATCCGTTCCAGTAGAGATGAGCAGGTGTTAATAGGTCTTTTTACACAGAGGTTTTTTTAAAGCACATATGTGCTTATAGACAACTATTAACCCAAGCTGTTAACTAAACAAAAGTACCTCTTAAATTGCAGGAATAAAATGACTATATTGCATGATAGTTAAGAGTTCAGATTTTAGTTTGAATCCCAACTTTACTATTAACTATAAAAAAAAGTTGTGCAAATTGTACTTCATAGGTTAGGTTAAGTCATTGTCCTGGGTAAGTTACTCTGTCTGTCATAGTTTTCCCAAAGAGTAGTAACTAACTGTTGTTATAAACCCTTATATGCTATAGAGAGATTTTTGCTATAGGGTATGTGCACTCTCCAGAGAGACAGAAAGTAAGAAATTACTCATTAGGGGAATGGTCACACTTCAGTCTCTTCTCCTCCATTCTCTTCTTGGCATTTTGGGCACATATGCACATACGCCCAGCATGAGTTTTAAGCCACTGGGTCTGGGACTCAAACTATGTCGACTATGTGGGAGTCCAGTGATGTAACCATTATGCCATCTACTGTTCCCACCAGAGCCTGCCTTGAGGGCCTGGCTTGGCAGCAGTTCAGGTGAAAGTGATCGGGTACCTGAAATGAGCATGCATTCTGTGTAAGCTGGCACTGTGTTGTGGTGGCCACAGGTGCTGTTGCAGACTTCGGCTTTATCACTCGAAGATCTGAGAATGTGATTTTCTTGGTGTGCCTTATGCATCTAGATCGTCTTCCGCACATTCTATTTACTTTGGGGGACTGGGACTTAAGCTGGGCGTTGACAATGTAGGAACAGTCACTAGGACAGCAGTAGGTTAGGAAGTCTTGTTATTCATTGAACAGTTAAAACAACTACGAGTGTTTTGCTCAGTAGGCAAATCCATCCTATGATTTGTTCATGAATTAGTTCCAGTCCATAAAATAGTTCCAGATGGCAGAACTATAGACTCAAAAGACAATGAAATGGGGTTTCTCTTTGGCTTACTATTTTATATATACACATACAGACGTGCGTATGTACTTAATTTCTTTCTCTTTGGATTAATTTAAATGAATTGTATATATATAAAATATATATTATATATATATTATATATTATATACACACACACACACACACATATATATATACACACACATATATATAGTCTAGTAATGGGATAAACCTTTGAAGAGAGTAAATTTCTGGCCCCTGAAGTTATTTAAGCTGATTGGATGGATCCCTGCCAAGAGACACTATAAAATGTGTTCTTCACTGGATTCATTTACTCGTTTACTTTGTATGGAGCCCTTCCTGCATGGCAGGCATTGTGCCTTGGGCTAAGGAGATAAACATAAATACAGTGGGCAAGAGGTTGGATTAAAAGGCTTTAAAGATCCCATTATGTATATGGTTGAAAGAAATTACTTGATGCATCAGTTTCCTTTGTCTTAAATGTGGAGCTCTGATTATATGTTACTCACTCTGTCTTTTAAACACTCTAGTGTGTAACTATCACATTTCTTCTGCATAATGGAGTAAAGGTTCATATCATTCTCTGAGAGATTATAGGCCTTTGACATCATATATATGGCAGTATTTTATTTCCTTACCTTTGAACATAGAGGTTCAAGTTGAATGTGGGGTCAGCTTTTCATAGAGTAATTTTTTTTTTTTTTTGATGAGAAACTTTTAATTTCAGGTTGACTTAACATATTTTTAAAGGTTCAACATTGACCAGAAAGTATCCTGAGATAACACAATGCATTTTACATGCAAGGTGATATCATTTGCTAATTTTAGTCAGAAGTTCATTATACTTAAATATATATATATATATCAGTCAGGTTCCAAAGTTATACTTTTATTTTTCTAGGAGAAGTTATATTTTGTGTATACTAAGACTGAATTTGCAACTTCAGTATTTGTAGATTGATCATGTATCTGGCTAACTCTGTTTCTGCCTGTAGAGATCAGATAGTACCAGGAGAAAGCAGGGGTGCCAAGAACAAAATGTGCAGATTTGGAGGTGATACTGGGGTCTTTGTCCGTGTTGGCCCATCACGTAAGGCCAGCTGTTCATTTGTTTCATGTCTAGGTTTGGAATTCACCCAGTTGCAGGCCGAATGCCTGGTCAGCTTAATGTGCTGCTGGCTGAAGCTGGAGTGCCATATGATATTGTGCTAGAAATGGATGAGATCAACCAGGATTTCCCAGGTAAGTGATGGGGGCTGTGGTAAAGTTTAAATATTCTACATGTGACTAAGGCAATGCCAGACTTGGGATGTACATAGTGGACCGAGCAAAGACTAACTAGTCAGGTGAAGAGAAATCTGCATGCAATAGGTTCACAGTCAACATGAAAGAAGTGGAAGACAGTACTGAATAAGATGCAAAAGATTTGTAAGCAGTATGAGAAATTTTTATTCCCCTGTATAGAACCAAAGGATGGTGAAAGTTCTGGGCTGTGATGCAGAGGTGAAGCCTGGTGATCTGGGCAGACCTGACTTGTGAACCTAGGTCTTGACTCAGTAGCTTATGGCCTTGAATGAAGTCTTCAGCCTCAGACTCATCTACAGAGTGCTTCTGTTGATAATGTGGCATCTGAGTCTTGCCTTGCCAGCGTCAGATTTTAACTGCTTTCCAGTTGTCCAAATACATGATCAGTATTTTTCTTTTCTCTTTTAAAGCACTAGGACTTCACTAGATAAGGTATTTTACTTTATAGCTGTCATTGGGTAGATGTTGGATGGTAATGACATTTGGCCCGGGATTATGTTTGTGAAAATGAAACCAGTTCCCTCTGGCAAGTATCCACTATAAACTTAAAAAATACTGCTTATTAGAAAAAAAAAAAAAGAAATCGCGTGTATGTCTATATCCACATGACAGTTTTGGCAGCATCTTAAGGTACTTTATATTAGAGAGCTTGAAGAGAGAATTTTGGCCACTTTAATTTAATACCCCTTTTCAAATTTCACTGTTGCTACATTATGTGTAAAAATCAGTTCCAGGAATTAAAGATACAGCCATATTACAGTATGGACGTTTAGACCATTGTCTTTTAGACCTCAGATTGAATCTAAAGTGGTTCATTTTGAAAGTTGAGAATGGGATGAAGATCTTACAAAATCATGTAACTAGCAAGATCATTTCGGGATAATAAAATAATGATAAAGTCAAGGTACATAGACCTATTTGGGTCGGGGGAGCGTCATGGTGTAGGCTGTAGCTAGGATTTTCAGGTTGAGAGGCAGGACCTATGGCCTTTTAGCTGTTGTGACATTGGCTGAGTTGCCTCACTTCTCTGATAAAATTCTTTGTATAGTGCCTGGCACAAGTGAGCATTCTGTAAATATTAGCTTTTGTTATTGTTGTTATTATAAATTAAGATCACTATGATTTGCTTGAAAAGAAATAAAGTGACCCCTTTGGAGCATGTATGTATGTGTGTGTACGTGTGTGTGTGTATATATATACACACACACACACACACATATACGTATATATGTATGTAGATATGGTTTTTGCCCTAGGACATGTTTTTTGGTGAGGCATGTGCACTCACGAAAGAGAGACAGAAGAAAGTACTTCCCAAGGGGAATAGCTATGCCACAATCCCTTCTACTCTAGGGATTTTGAGCATGCCTGCACATACTCCTGGTGAGTTTCAAACCACCAGGTCCAGGACTTGAACTGTGGATGGCCAGGTGGGAGACCTGTGCCCTAACCACCACGTCACCTGCTGACCGCTTGGTTTTTAATTTTTCTCTTTTCTTTTGTCATGTAGACACTGATTTGGTCCTTGTGATTGGAGCTAATGACACTGTTAATTCTGCTGCTCAAGAAGATCCCAACTCCATTATTGCAGGCATGCCAGTGCTTGAGGTCTGGAAATCAAAACAGGTAAAGTTTCAAACTTGTATTTTGTTCTGATAATCAAAGATCACTTAAAATACACACATAGAACTTTCTTTGGTTGCTGACTGAGAAGTGATGATGCCTTTTAGGTGAGCCAGTGAGTAAGAACATGTGTAGGAGGGACCTGTATCCCCTATCTAGCTCCTGTCTGTTCTCTGGCCACTGGAGAACCTGAGTGAATGTCCCCCTCACAAGTAGAACCAGGTGAAATTATGTGGATGGATTCACAAAATCTGTAGCCACAGCTGAAAAAAGAGCTGTGAGCTTTTGGAATGAGTCTGGCTGAATTCCAGATTGAGCCCAGTGAAGCAGATGGCTTCCTTCTGGGACAGTGAGTCAGTATCATCGCCTTAATATACCAAGATGAGCATATTTTTTCACTGAATTTTTTTTTGTAAGAGAATTTGTATATTGTTATGGAGTGTCTAGCAGAAACGTGATTTAGAAATCTGAACAGTAACATGGCATAAGGAAACATGCTTTGCTCATGTCCATTACTTTGGAAAAAGCTAATTGCCGGATTTTAGAGAACGGAAAGCCTTATAAATTTTCCTCAGCCCTAGCAGTGGACACATCTCTGTAGCACTCCTGAGTCATAGCTGTATTTTAGGGATCAAAATCACATAATGTACATTTTCTCTCTAATTTTGTTCCTCTTTATGATAAACACATGACTTTAAAAACCTAGTATTTGTGATGAATGAATGGATATGAAATACACTTGTTCATGGGCCTCTGAAAAATTATTGCCTCAGTGAATATCTGGGAGTTTGCAGAGTGTGACACTGTACTAATGCTATTTGAGATGTAAACAGATGGGCATTGCTTCCATTTTTGGGTAGATTACACGTCCGAGAAAACCACAGAAGGGCTTTTCATTTTATGAAGAATTAGCTTGA